CTCGAAAGTTGAACGTACTGATGCCTGGTTCAGTCGGTCACTGATTGAAGAGCAATGGAAAACCCACCAGGAGGCCGCCTTCCATCGACGTCTCGCGAAATCGCGCGTTTGAGGGGCGGAGCCAGCAGCCCTTCTGCTTTGTCCTCCGTTTGGTCACCTGCAAGGGAAGCAACGACCTCTTTGCCTGCGCGCTTCTGCTTGGAAGACTCAGCCTCGAGACCGCCCTCACCCCTAGAAGCCTGAGGTGGGCCGCCAAGGACAGGGCCCGCCCTACCGAAGCTCAAGGTGCGAGCGCGCCGAGGAGGAGGTTCGATTCTCGGGGACAATGCTGAGGCGCAGCACCGCGGGTGACGCACTACCGGTAATCTGCAGCCATGCATCGAGAGGGGTGTCGCGAATGCCCTTGCTGTCCCAGAGCCCGAAGTCTGGAAGCTCGGGAGCACTCTTGTGAGGGACATAGAAGCCAGGTGGCAGCGGGTGCTGGCATGCTTTGGGGGTCGTGGTCGTTTTCAGGAATCCTCTCAATGAAAGCGCCCACGGAGTTGAGGATCGCTTCCATTGCAGGGCAATCCGTAATCTCGCCGATGGAATTGTTGAGATCCTTCTAAAGGGAGCATTAGCAAAGCCACAGAGACGAGACGTACCAAAGGGTTGAGCACAATATTGACAAGCTTGCGGGCGTTGGAGACCTGCTTAGCGACAAACTCGGCAGGAGGAACAGGCCATTCGGAGTAGAGCTGAACGCTGCAGTAGTTGATGAAGTTGACCAGGTTCTGGTCTTCAATGGCGAGCAGGCGGTTGTACTCAAATTTGGTGGGTGCAAGAGGGGCCCGCGAATAGTCCCTCACAAACTCCTGGACGCCAGGGAGCGTGAACTGCAGGGATAGGGCATCATACTAGACAAAAAAGTTGTCAAAACAAAATCAGTGATGAACAGTCGGTCTAAACGCACTGTATCCAGATCTCGGCCCACAACGCGCCTGGGAGGATTGCGTACAACTCTTTCCAAAGCTTGGGGTGGGCGCCAGCGAACCACCTGGTCAATGGCGACTAGCAAACGGTCGAAGATGGGCGCTCGAAGATGGGCGCGAAGATGGGTGTTATCTTGGAAGTTGTGCAAGGCCACATCAGCAAAACAGGAAGGGACAGTTTTCACCGTTACGCACCGCGACCAGCATCCACTATTCCAGATCGCAGCGACCCAGGTGCGACATGGTACGCACAAAAGGAAGCAGGTGCATCGTTGCAGGGTGTGCGAAGAGCCACAGGCAACACACATCCCCATACGAGAACTCTCACTCGCTGAGCAGTTCAGTGTGACCCAACGGAATGAACAGGCAGTAGACGGGGGTGTTGAAGTCGTCCCTTGAAAGCGTCCCTGAGCGTGGGCGGCCCTGAACTGGCCTATGGAGAGCCTGTCCAAGCACACAGTGTTTTCGCCGACAACATTCAAGAGGGGCTTCCAGACATAGAGGTAAGAGGACTGACACCAAGTAAATATTACAAGACGAAGTACGCTTGTTTTGATTTTCCAGAGCCATAATCAGCGCAGGGACATGGTCCCGCCACCCTGTCCCTGCAGATTCTCTTGAGATTTATCCCAGATAATAGTCAACAGAAGCCTATACTTGCCTGAACATTTTCCCCAGGGACGTGGGCAAGCTTGCGCGACTGGTGATGCTGCAGTGCTTGGCTCAGACTGTGGCGCCGGGGTCGTTTCACAAAGGGGCAAAAAATTGTGTGTGGCTTCTGGCATACACACTTGACATTATAATCAAACTCGAAAATCTGATGGACTGATTCCGCTCCGGGTTCTACGAATTTGAACTCCCGCTCACTGTGAATGCTCTCCACTGCATTGGTTCCGCTGGGATTCGTCGCATTGATTGTGACTGTGCCCAGGGAGGGCTTGGCCAGACCCGCTAACAGTCTCCGTACTCTGGCGAATTCAACAGCCTTTCTTCTGCTGGTGTTTCAAGGTGTCAGCGGCAATGAGGCGCTTCACATTGCGCTGCACAGGTTTTTTAAGGTCTTGATCTCCATGGCCAAACTTCAAGCGGGGAACATCGTCCACAATGCCATTCAGACGATCTGTGATGAGCTCTTTCGAGCGAGTTTGGATTATTGTGTGCTTGAGGATCTTTGGGCACCACTTTTTGTTGAATGTGAGTCAACCTCGTCGACCCCGCAGATGATCCCCTCCACCCTGGAGAAATTCTTTAACTCTGTTGTGCAATTAAATACTGTGCTGCCACATACATACCAAAATATGCAGAACAAAGGCCTTGACAGATCTCCCTCTGACCACCCCCGATCCTTTGAACTTGAAGCAGCTGAAAGGCGGACTGGAATGGGCTACACGTGTCATCACCCCCATCCTGCTTTCTTGCCGATGCCTCCACGCTGCCCACTCTTGTGCACCTGAGACCCTACGACCCTGATTCAGCAATTCGCGCTGTGACCCAAGCCCAAGACGCTCTGAAAGCGGCAATGTCACTCGCCCGGATCCCCATAATCTCAGTGGAGGAGTCGAACAAGCTGACTGTCGAATTTGAGGCACGAGTTAAGACTTTGATGGCTTCATTGGAGGAGGAGCGTGCACGCGTCTCAGCTTTGCAAGCGTTGCTTGACGCTAAGACTCGCGAGCATTGATCTCATTGACTCACACAATTTTATTCCTTCCGTTGAAGACTGTTGAAAAAATAAAGGCTAGTCTTGAATGCACCGGTTTAGACAATCGTCAACAGCTCGCAAATTTCTCAACAAAAGTAGTTGGCGTGGAAAGCTGCTCCCAAATGAACAATGTCACCCTGACTTGTCACATCTGTGATTACAGATTTTTCCAAGCCGCTTTGGCCACAGAGAAGCAAGTTGACAACAAAGGAGCTGACGGGCAGTCACAATAGCCCGAGGAGGGCGACGAAAGACCTTAAGAGATACTGGGAAGTTTCTACCATTAATTTCAAGTGCCAAATAAAAGCAAAACCGAAAAAAGCAACATACCTTGAGTTCGTCGTTGTAAACCAATAGTGTCCGATCCTCTACCTTGAAGGGTTGGTTGAAATGGACAGCGCTTATCAAATTGGTTTGGACCACAAGGGGGACAGACACAACATTGCAGACGTTGATCGCTGAGTCAACAGCCATCTGAACGATGACAGGGATCGCCGCCACAGGTAAGGGAAGGGTGGATGTTGCTACAACGCGAAAATTGACGCTTGGATTGAAGATCTCAGCGCCTGTGGTGATTTGAAGTAGAAAACCCAGTCTAAATTCCAGTTCCTGAGCTGTTTAGGTGTGATGGACTTTCCCCATGCATTAATGCAAATACTGCAACCTGGGTGGTTTCTCGCATGCTATCCCTTGTGGCATGGCTCATTGGCGCCAACCGCTCGCATAATTATTTAAGTTGTCAAGGGGGCACTGGTTGAACACAACTGCCTTGCGATGTGTCTCATAGGCTGTTGACACTGGGCTGCTCAAAGTCATCTGCATCCTCAGTTACAAAGTCAATAGAGGTGATCTTGTTGGAATGTGGGTTTTGCCTCTGACATCATGAGTGTCCCCACTTTGATCCTTCATGATTCTATCATCAATATCTGATCCTACTGATCCTATGCATCCCTCTGATCATTTATGATCCTATCATTGATACCTGATCCTACTGATCCTATGTCCTTTGTTCTCTTTATGATAATCCCCTTGTTCCCAATTAGGTAGGTCCTTTGTGCCCAATTAGATCTTCCCTTTATCTACCATATGTTGCATTTCCTTTGTTCATGTACCTATATATACAGCCTAGCTAGTGCCTTATCTATTGTCAATGTTGTATTCCTTCACCTCCGACAGCGGTTTGCTGCTCGCTACAAGTGCATTGTGCATGCACCGTTACTGTATTTGCATGCAAGAGAAACATGTTCAGGCAATTTGCGGCATACTTGGGGTGACACCGCCTCTGTGGTTGCTGACAGTGTTCAGATTGGTTTCCTGAATGTGGTGCTGTTAATCCTCAATAATGGGCACACGTTGGCCAAGCAAGAGTGGCACTCGAGTTTATTTTCAACATCACTGGTATTATTTTTCCAGGTTCTGTTCCCAGCAGAAGTCAGCCGGAATCGGATGGTCGTCCATGATTAATATTTCAGTCAAGGAGATAAGAATAGAGGAGCATACCAATCGAGAACAGTATTGCTTGATATAAGTAATCTGAGCTGCTTCTATAGCCTTATAAGCAAGTTGATCTGACATCGTCAATTGCCATCGGATACAAAGAACCATCAAAAAGAGCTTTTGGCACTCTTGGAGTGCTTGAGCGGGAAGGTGAGCTACAACAACGTAACCAATTGTGAAGACCAGCTACAGACAAACACATGCAATTATCATGGCCTGCGAGTGCGTAAGTGCTTCATTGTTCCTCGTTGTCGGTACTTACATACTCTGGTTTCTATTCACAGTTTTGCTCACAACATGTATCAAACACTCATAATGCCTGCGGGAACACAATCATTTCCACGACTTCGTGCGGTGTTACCAACATTGTCAACCTCTTGGACCGCAATGTGATGCACTTAATCGACTACAGGTGGACAAAACCGTCCGCTGGAAGGCCGGTTTAATCATATACACCTCCGGTGCCAGAGATTACTGATGATCCTTGCACAATCAACAAGATCTTGAACGAGTTAAACCAATTGTATACTACAAAGTGAGTGTCTTTAGTGTGTATTTATAGAGCCACACCATAGACATTCCATACAATTTGGCCGAAGCGGCTTGGGTTACAGTGTGATCGATGTGTTGGAGGGTGTACACCAGATGGAAGCCGAAAAGGCAAATAGAGCACCAGATGGGAGGCGAAAAGCCCAGTCACATTATCACAAAGTGCCTAAATATGTGACAATGTACGAATAAGGAAGGCGACACCGTCTGTACCAAACCACGCCAAACACCACGTTCAACACGATGTTGAAGTCTGGGTTTTTAGTCCTGTTTGCACTATTGGTAGAATAGCTCAGTTGGATACCTTGGCTTAGAGCATCTCACATGACATGAGAAGGCGGTAGGTTCGATTCCTGCTTTCCAACACAATGCAGGAAAAAACCATTGAATGGGACATAAACCAGACTGCAACATGATGTGGAGAGAGAATATCAATCCTGCTCTCAAATCCTGAACTGAATACTTCAAGGTCTTGATCAGCCTATAGCCTATACAGTAACTACCTGCAGGTGAAATAGTGGTGAGTCTGCATTGGATGATGAAGAGTGGTATGTATTTTATTTCATCCACCTATGGAGGGATCTTTGTTAACCTGCAGTACATTAAAGAGCAAGCTTTCAATGCAGAACTGAAACTTTTTGGTACTCTGTATTCTCATTGTTGTCAATCCCTGAAATCAAATGCTGTGTTAGGTCTTACCCTGAAATCAAATGCTGTGTTAGGTCTTACCTTCGGTCCAAAGCCAGAGCCAGCAAAGAACTACTCGTCACTTCATGCTCGTCACTTCATACGTCCTTATTGGACCTTGTAGATCTGGTGAGTACAAGTAGTTACTGCCCCAAAAAGCTATCAGATTTGTGCTTTATAACAAAGACCCATTGGGAACGAACTGGCTTAATGCTAGGGGGCACATCCACAACTTCCCAGGTGCAGTTCTCAAGCAGAGCATTAATCTCAGCAAGAGCAGCTTCCTTCCACAAATGAGCATCCTCACACTTAAGCGCTTCATGGTAAGAGCGTAGCTCGCCAGCATGCAGAGCAGACTCTGCTGAATGCACATGAGCAGTGATGAGCAATGATAAGGAAGGGCTTTAAGGAGGAGGATTTGGATTTGGGGGATTGGGAGGTGGTGCATGATAATCACCAAAGTCATCATCCTCATCATTGTCTCTCCCATAATTGCGCAACTCCTGCACAACTGGAGGAGGATCAACAAATTCAGAGGAGGGACTGTTAGGACAGAGTTTAAGAAGAGTTGGTTTGTTCCCAGGGTAATAGCGCTCGTCAAAGACTGCGCGCTCAAAGACAACAGTTTTGCGTGTCTTTGGATTGTAGAAGAGCCATCCCTTGTGTTGTGTGGGATATCCCACAAAGACACACTGTTGAAAGTGGATGCCGGAATTGTCCTGTTTATCTCTCTGCACATGAACATAGGCAAGACAACCCCACACCCTAAGGTGTGACACATTGGGCTTACGCTTGAACCAACGGAGTAGTATCTCCAGGGATATGAGCTGAGGGATGCATATTGCTAACATGAACATAAGCCGCAACTGCAAGCGCTTTGAAAGAAGGCGGCAGATTAGCGTCATGTAGCATAGCCGTAGTGTGCTCATCTATCGTGCGATGAGCACGCTCTGCTGTCCCGTTCTGCTGCGGTCTATTCCTTGTCAAATGACGGTGCACAATGCCACAAGAGGTTGATTTTGCAACCAAAGTGATAAGCTTTGAACACCTTGAATGCATTGAGCGCACCACTCTTGTGCTTCATGTGCATACACACTTTGAAGCTTGTGTGATCATCAACAAAGACAATACGATGTCTCCACCCCTCACGGGTGAACACTTTGTACTGCTTCAGATCAGAGTGTATTAATTCAAGAGGTGCAGATGCACGATGACCAGTGGAAAAATAGAGCCGCATTCAGCTTGCCAGCAAGGCAGGGCTCACAGAGGGGATCTGGCTTCTGATTTGAAGTAAGCTTCGCACCAGTAACCAGATTCTTGCTCAAGATCTTCTGGGTGTCATTCAAGTCGACGATGCAACAGTTCCAGATCAAGAGGCAAAGTCCCAACTGCAGCCAAAGCTGAAACAGAATCAGAAGGCACTTCTCTCACAAATGCTTGGTTCCCCTCGTCAATATCCGCTTCAAAGAATGTTTCACCATCCTTAACAAAACAGATTGTGTTCTGCTCCATGAGAATAGAGTAGCCATGAACACGAGATAGATAGGTGGTAGAGACGAGGTTATGAGATAGATTGGGAACATACAAGACATTTGTGAGAATTACATGCTTGCTACTACGTCCGTGTATAAGTGGCCTAAGCAAGATCTCTCCTTTTAATTCAGAGTACACTACAACTCCATTTGCGACTTGGATGGGAACCCTGTGCGGAACAGCAGTTGGTGGTAAGCCAGAAGTTCAAGGAGCTATGGTTTCTTCTTGATCAATGAAGTATGTGAATAACTGTTTCCAGGTCATAACACGGTCAATTGCCAACAAGGTTCGGCACAGTCAAGGTGTGGTTTGGCGGCTCATCGGACACCTGAAGTACAGTAGTTGGTAAATCCGGTCAGTTGAACATTAATTTCGCAGAATTTGAAAATCGAGCATCTCTGTTCCACCATCGACAGTATGCTGGATGGAAATCCTGTCTATTAGTAAAGTGTGAACAGTCTATGCAACCATGCAGCATACTGATCTTTGGAACCATAGATTGGGAGATGAATTCCTTTACCAAGCAACAGAGCTTGTGAAGTCAACAGTGAGAACTGAGAACTCAAAGCACTAGCTAGGCTGTATATATAGGTAGGCATATGGTGGATAAAGGGAAAGACCTAATAAAGGAACTACCTAATTGGAAGCAAGGGGATTACCATAAAGGGAACAAAGGACATAGGATCAGGTATCAATGATAGGATCATAAAGGATCAGAGGGGTGAGAGTGAGAGATGTCAATACACCCCAATCCTCAACTCCTCTAACAACTTCCTTTGGACCACACTCTTGTGCTGTTTATGCTCTCTGCCCACTCCCTCGCCTCTGGGGCAGGCAGCACGACATTCCTTTTTTGTTGACAGTTTCATATCAAGCAAAAAAAAAAAAACACTGAGAAAGTCGACACGAGACTGAGAGGCCTGGTCTAAACCCAAGGCCTCAGAATAGTATAGGGGAGGCCTAGGCTGCGGGCCACCCGGGTAGAGAAGAAAAAGTGGAAAATGGAAAATGGGTGTCCAATATTGCGTCCTGTTTGCTGACACCTTCTTACACCGCCGCAGCCTTTTCTCAGATTGTCTTTGAGTTATCTTTCCATTTTACACCAGGCGACAACACACCTTCCTCATGCCAGCAACTGATCAGCCGGCTCTAGAAAAAAAATGTTTTGCACCAAATGACAGGTGCCTTGCCCAGCGCTGGATCTGGAAAGGACTAGAGGGCTTCCAGAATTAACAGAGAGTCGCTTTGTTTTTGTTTCGGCGAGAATGGGGCCAAAACCCCAAGTCTGTTTCAGAAGCCCTCTGCCCCGTGAGTACACCAGCTCCGTTTTACGTCTTCTTGCATATTAATTCTTTAGATTTGTCACCGCTGAAGATCTGAATCAGATACAGCAATAGATGTAGAAAACCTAAACCATAAACTCACAAAAATACAGATTAACAAACCAAACTGAAAACATATAAAGATAAATACAATGAGTTAAAACAAGTAAGCTTGGCTTCTCTATTCAGACAAACATGATGGTTTACTTGATATTAGGTAGGAAAATTCACGAATTCTGAATCCCAATGGGAAACTGCTTTCAAATGTTTTCCCTGACTACTTAACTCAAAAGCTCAGATGCAATTGCTCTTGTACAAGCAGCTATGCCAGGGTAACAGGGAAAAACGGATGGGCATGGGGTCCAGAAGCCTTCCAGAAACTTAAGGATCACATTGCCGAGAACGACCTGGGGCGCGAGGCTTGATTGTGACATGGCATCCTTGCTGTGGGAGAGTAAGTAGATTGATGGTGAATATTGGCGAAACACGTACGACGAGGGGTAGACTCCGAGGTTGCGGCCAACTAAAACAACCCAATAATTCGACCCCTTGATCTGGTTTTCGTAGCAGGCGGCGACGGTACTCGGAGTGTTGGCCTCTCCTTCCACAAAGGCGGCCTGGGTGACAACTACTCAGCGAAGAAGGAGGAGGAAGGTTAGCCAGACATACCTTTACCGCCAAGCAGAGTGGAGAGGTTGGTCGTAGTCGAGAATTGGAAGGGAGAAACGTACGAAAATATTTACGTATTCCAAATCCCATCTCTTGTGTGAGTTGGCGGTAAACTGATGTCTATAAAGTGCGCTGCAAGGCATATCAATCAGGCTTCAATTGGAGAGATATGGCACACAAGTGAGCTGCTCACGAATCCACTGAGGAGTGAACCACTCGCTCTCAAAATACTGTGTCACAGTGTGATGAAAGATTACCTTTAGGCAATAGTTTCGACATACGAGAGCTAGAGTGACGGGTTTGTTCTAGAAAGAATTGTAGCTAATACATCTGAGTATTTATAGTAAGTAAGTAAGTAAAACAAAAGCGGAACTTCCGCATTCATTGTGAAGAAGGCATTGAGGATCATATTTGCACACTCACCAATCTTCTCACCCAACTCGCTTCTCAGCAATCTGTTCTTTCCAAATCTGAATTCTCCCTGATGTCACGTCGTTGCCTGACTGATGGGACACCTTCATCTCTGGTGTCGATACCACTTCCCTCAACAACTCCTCAAAACTCATCGCTCGAATTCTTGAACAGGATCGCCAACGCAAATCCCATCTTTCTGATGAAGCTACGATTTAACCCTCACAATCTTTGGCCCTGCACCACCCTCCAACCTATCCAATCACGAATACCTCACTTTCCAGATTGGTATTGTAATTACAATATTCAACTACGTATTTCATATCTTGTCTATTGCCTATCCAGTCTAGTTACAATGTGCTCCTCACATTCATGTGCTATTTCCCTTAAGTACATCTCATATTACCGAACAGTATATAATCTACCTACAGCAAGCCTGTATCTTTAGTAATCTACTCGTTTCCTCATTCTACCAGCTCAGACTGTTTCCTTTGGTTCCCCTATTCACATCTCAAAGAAGTTAAGCACTGCACTTTCCAGTGGTCTTTACACCTTGGAAGGAATAAGTGCAACAAGGGAAACAGAACAGCAATTTTTCGATTTCCGAACACCTTGAACATTGAAGTTGTGTCACAAACTAGCCAGTGTGTGAACATTTGGGTGCGTTGGGTAGGATAATCATAATCTGCCGCCTTCTCTAATTGCAGTTGCAGCTTATGAAAACTTCTTGAACAGTCACGACAG